TCACGTGCCCTAAAAAAATTGCCTTGCCCTTCTCGCCGCTTAATTCGAGCCCTGGCTCGCGATAACTGGGCGCTACTGATTTATCGAGTTATGCCATATTTTCTGAGATGAATTGGATCAAAACAACCAGACAGCCGCCATGTCCGCCATGTTCAGTGCGACTAAAATCAGCAATGGACCTGATTTTCACAGTGCGTAGGTCTAAACACAAGGCAAGTACATATCTTCGCAATGATAATTATTAAGTTGTTGTAGATTAATGTTTCCTGGTTTTCAATGTTTTAATATTTATATATATACAAGTATATATGTTATATAGATGCTTATTTATGCTCGCGCCAACACGAGTTGCAACGCTATGGTATGTTATGTCGTTTCGGGTTTTCCGCGTTCCGATCAAAAAGCATGCGCAGTGGAAACATGGCGGTTAAAGTGAAATTTAGGTTCGGCTCTTGAAATTTACACTGTTCACATCGAACCGAGATATTAGTTTTAATAACAGCGCTGGAATACTATAAGGTGAAGGTTATACTTAATACTAAACAAGGCAGAAATGCTTAGATGATCATTTTATTTTAGATATACGTAATTGTTTGGTAGTTTTTGTAGAGATACAAGATTTTCCAATGGATGCCAGGATTGATGTCAGGCTGTGTATATTGACGTCAGTCACACAGCCTGGTTGGGTTAGTCACAGCCTAGCCACAAGTTCCCTTCTCGCTTAACACTATGTTGGCGAGAGGACGCCTACGAGAGGACACTACGTTGTCCTACGACGTGTAACAGTCGGAGAGCCTGGTCGGTTTAGTCACAGCTACCGGTTTAGTCGGTGTGGACTTGACAGTTGTGACACATGTACTCACTGTACACTAAACTTAACAGTCAATTTGTCAAATTCTGTATGTACCATAAGAAGACCTTTTTCGGGTTTACAATACGCGTGAGTGAACGGGGTTTTATACAAATCGAGTTAATGAAATCCTGTCACTCTCAAATATTATCGGAAATGAATTTTTGTATAGTTGTTGATTTACCTGGCACCTGTAACGATATTATCGCCACCTGTCGATGATATATACTATAACAATTATTTTATGCGTGAGACGTAAATACAATAAAGTATAATAATTAATAGCTATATTCAATCGAAATTAACAATACAATTACGCATACAAAATTATTCACACGTAAGTACATGAATATTTGTTATACACCGGACAATATTAATAGGAATAAATTGAAATACGAAATAACAGACGATGATGATGATTAGTTAATTTCAAAGCCAGTGTCTTCTTTTGGTCAATATCACTATAGATTAAGCATATATATTTTAAGAACATATTTTATCCTAGTCTGTATATATTCCTAGTCTGTGATGTTATTAAAGTCTACATGGACTTTGATTTTAGTGTTATAATCAATGACAATGTGTATAAAAATGAAATGGCGGCACCTTGTGTGAAAATTGATTTCGGAAATGAGAAATTTACACTGCCATCTCTTGGGAATTATATGAGTTAATTAATTAATTACAAGTGGTTTATTACTTAATGAAATGAGCATAAGAAATGATACCCACTACAATAGTAGAAAGAATAGTAAATATTAACTTTATTTTCTAATATTGTAGCAGGCTTGGTGCGTCTTCTACGGCCAGGTGGCTGTCAATAGGATTTAACTTAGGGGTATACGGCCGGTGACCGGTCACTCCGCTCACTCGCCACGGAATGAATGTAAAGTTGTAAACATGTGGATGTAACAAACTTTTTCCGGGCGCTACGAATATTATTAATCAGTGATCACGTTATCTTCAACGCTAAGAAGAAGACTGATGCTTGACTGAACTTGTGCAGAATTGTTGATCGTCAGTTTGTTAGTATATTCCCGTGCCTTCGTAGATCGTAGGCTGTTCATATTTATTAATATTATAATAATAATAAGTGTGTGTGTGTGTGTGTGTGTGAGAGAGAGAGAGAGAGAGAAAGAAAGAAAGAGAGAGAGCTAGAGGTGTGTGTGAGAGAGATAGCTAGAGCTCTACGTGTGTGTGTGTGAAAGAGAAAGAGAGAGAGAGCAAGAAAGGACGGATGAAAGGATAGACGGCAGCAGTGCATATATTGTATATTTTCGGCAATCAGCAGAGCGTCCCGTTGTGCAATCATGCGTGTACGCAAGTCGCGCGATCACTGTGTGAGTGGATGTCCGGATGCATAGCCTGGAGGCTAGGCGACCGGTTCCGGACGCGTAGCCACTGCTTTATAATATAGGCGTTACCCACAAATTAATCATTATAAACGTATATGAATTTAAATAATAATTTGAATACAAATTATATACAGGGTCACACGTTCTTTTTATGCAGTTTTTTAATGGGTAAGACCACCAGGACAGGAGGATGTCAACACTCAAGTTGATGATTAGCTCCAAGAAACGGTCTTTGCTAGGGTTAGAAGACCATTTTGTATATTGACGTTAGTCACACAGCCTGGTCGGCCTAGTTGATGATGTGAATTTGCATCTCTACATTCATTTCAATCATTGCTGTTGTCATAACAACCAGTTATATGTTAATGGGTGCGTGTGGATATCAGTAGGCTAGAACTGCAACCCAAAAGAAAAATTGATTGCGCGCAATATATCAAGTCATCGCAATTTACACAACATTTTGGAATTATCTGGTCACAGCCTAGCTCTAGGCCTGCTGCAACTGTACGCAGATAATAGTACTAGAGCTAGTCACAGCCTAGCTCCAAGAAACG